TATGGGATGCAAGCATGGAGCTGCCTGATTGCTGTATTTATGAGGGCCTGCAGGTTTGTTTTAATTTATTTCTGCATTCATAAATCCTTGTTTTTATTTTTTGCCCTCTTTCTCTTACTATGGGGGGTTTGTATTTGGCATTCATTTCCCCTTCCTGGTCCTTTTTTAAATAAGGAAATTATTTTTTTTTGTTATCACTCATTAGAAGATTTTTTTCAAACAGTAAAAAGCGTCCTCTATTCTTGAGTAATCATTAATTTATCTAAGGCGGAGTTACATCTTCTTGACTTTAAGAGGTATGGGTAAGCTTCTTGATTTGGAGGTACAGAATGGAGACTATGAAAGAAGATGGTAAATAATACCAGTCTGGAGCCCAAACTTCCTAATTTCAGAGGTATAAAAGCTCACACAGTCATGACTTTCCAATAGGCATTGTCTTTTAAGATGCACCTAGGTGGGGGAGGCAGTTGGGAGGTAAATGTTACCCCAGTTGGAGGACATTTCAGTGCTTTTCCTGACATCTTGGTTGGATATGCTGTTATTTCCCCAAAGTTGTAAGAAATCTTCTGCAAATCAACACTTATTATGAAATATCCACTATGTGCAATCACTTAGGATATGTATATAAAAAGCAAGATGCACGGTCCTGCTTTCAAGGTGTTTCTAATCCAGATGTGTTAATATCATACCAGTATAAAAGACTTTACAGACTTATTCATTTGATCTTTACCACAGTGCTAAAATGTTGGTAAAGCAGACAGAATTATTTTTAATTTACAGATGATAAAACTGGTCTCAGAGAGGATAGGGTTCACACAACTGGTAAGTGGCACAGCTGGGTCCTGATGTCAAGTCACCTGATTTTGAGTCCACTTAGCTTAATGGTTCTCATCTAGGAAGGGGTGGGAATTAGAAACACTAAGGGAATATTTTAAAATGCTCATTGATGGTGCCTTCACATGATGTTCAGGGATACACTTAGGGTTTAGATAACTACTCTCTCCTCCACATGTATTAGACTATGAAAGTAGGTGAAGTGAGGTGGGTGGAAGGAGTCTCATGAATGTAAACATTTAAATATATATATACATTTCTTCTCAGATGTTTTTGATATCCTTGCTCTCCACAACTGACCCTACTGATTAAGAAGCACTGAGATAAATATTTGAATGAAAAAAGACAAAATAGGTCAGGGTACAATACCACTTGGGTAACAGACCATAAGAATGCTGTGAATTCAGGTACCATAAATTATCACTTCTAACTCAGGTGGTCAGGGAAGTCTTTTAGAACAAGTTGGGCCTTACTGATGTCTAAGAGGAAGGTGTGAATCAGGGAGTTTCTGAGACTAAATATCAAGAGAAGCTCAACTGTATTTTTCTTTTGAGTGCCTCCACTTGCTATTTGACTTGAGGCAAGTTTCACAATTTCTCTGAGGTTCATTTTTCTCATCTATAAAATGGGAGTAATAATATCCATCTTACTGGGATGTTGCACGGACTTAATGAGAAAAGATATGAAGGTGCCTGGCATAGTGCCCTCTACATAGCAGCTCTCAAAAAAGAGGCATTTTCCTCCCCTTCTGTAAGTTCTAAACAAATGAACTTTTCCTAATTCTTGGAAAACTTCATGCCATTTCCTACCTTTGCAGGGATGTCCCTGTCCCCTCATCTGTAGAGTCTGTCTATAAAGGCCTCTTTTAGAAGTTACATCCTCTAAGAAATCTCAATGGTCCTCTCCCTGGGATGTGAAAAAAATCCTGAATTGTCTCAGAATTTCCCTACTTCTCCTGCTCTTCCTCTCAAGCCACTTTGTCTAGGATTGCATTCTGTCCTGTCTGCCTCCTATTTGCAAGCTTGTCTCTGTATCACTGCAATACCTAGCACAGGACCTTATTTTTTAGCTTGTGAACAAGTTTTGGGCATATTCAATGCAAGAGTTTTGGTGTTCCCTTTGAATCTAGCGTGATCAGGCATGGACCCTAAATTAGTTCCTTTAAGTTGGGGCCTTGCTCCAATCACTTGGGAATTTTCTCCAGTCTATAACAGTTACACTAATCGGATTTAAAACTGACTGAACACTTTTATTATAGCCTGCCAGAGGTATGCATTAAAATTTAAAACTGTTTCTTCTTTGAACAGAAAGAAAGTACTTATGGTGTGATTATATAGGCTTAGAATTTTTCATTAAAAAGGGTTTTAAACACTTCAGCAAGTAAAAGGCAGAATCCTATTTAATGAGTTTTTAAAGGTAGTGAAAGTAAGCAAAGTTTAACAGAATCATTTTTCCTCCTGTCACATAAAGCCCCTCTTTCACTGCAATATATCATGCACAAATCATGGTCTTATTATTCATAAAGGATTGCCATTTGTGCCGAGCAACAGAAGACAAAGCCTATTATAAAATGAGATTATACAGAAATCTAAGAGCAGATCAGAGTGCTTCACAGCCTTCGGTTTGGAGAATATCTGAATTATAACCAAAGTGATTCTATAGAGTCCATCTTTTGAATTGAGAAGGCATTTTATAGTCTGGGATCATCTTAAGAGGCTTACAGCCTGGATGCCTGAACACAGGTAAAGGTCTGGGAATCTGAAGGTGGTTACTGAGGTTTGGAGTTGTCCATTTGTGTGGCTCACTGCGGCAGATGGGTGCCTGAAGCCTTCTCCAGGGGGCACGGTTGTGGAGGTTGGCAGATATGGTGTCATTTAATACTGCCCTGTTCGCCATGTGCAAATGCAGAAGCCACAGAATTCAAAGCCCAGACCTCCAGAAACAGGAAATCTAGCCAAAATATTTAGCCAAGTAATTTTATCACTGCCTTTGAAATGGCTATGGTATGCATTTTAGTTGAGTTCACGAGCATACACATCTCAAATGAAGGACTTGGGTTGAAATAAATCTACCTCAGATCTGTTTACCCAGTGAGATCTAAAGATTTAATTTTCCAAGCATTTCTGAAACAGGAGTTGTTGGAATTAGAGCAAGGCAGCTCAGTAGCAACCAAGTTTTCTCTGATGTCAACTTTGATAGGAACAGAGTGGCTATTGGAAATGTATGTACATTCTCATTTATGGCTAATTAATAGTATTTTTGTGACTGGATATGGGGAAATGTGTCATGGGTGTCAGCACACTGCATTGCATAGTTAATATAAATTGACACTAAAGCCACATGTATCATACTTGGAAGCAAACTTTGATGAAGATGCAGTTTTAGAATTATTGTGTATACATTCTCATTTATAACTAATTAAAAGTATTTTTTATCTGGTATCTAGGAAATGTGACATGAATGTCAGCAGAATGTACTATACTTACAGTTATATCACAATGAAGGAAAAAATATATTACCAATATGAACTTGCATGCCTCTTGAATAATTGGAGTGACCAGTTAGCTGGGAAGAGAATCCTTAAGGCCAGCTGGACACCCAGAAGGAGGGGTAGATCTGCCAGGCCTACCCTGTTCCACCAGCACCCAAGTGGAACCTTTGGGGCTATTCTGTTTCTTTCCTTGTTCTTGTTCTCCTTCTTTTCTCACTTCCTCACCCCTATTTTTCCTCCTTTCCTCTCTTCCCCTCCTTTCGTTCTTTTTTTTTTTTTTTACTCTCCCTGGATGCAGAAGCTGCCTTACCTGTAGGAACAGAGTGGATGTGTGTGTATGGTCATCCAGACCAGGATGACAGTTATGCATATCTTTTCTCCTTGCCTGACTAAAGGCTATAGCATCTAAATCCTTCAGCTTTTTTTATTTTTACAATCAATTACAAAGAAATAATAATAGCTAATAATAACTATGTGTTAGGCATCATTCTGAAAGCCTTACCTACATATCCATTTAATTTTCTTAGTAGCCTAATGAATTAGGTACTGTATTATCTCCATTTTACAGATGGGGAAACTGAAGTCCAAAGAAATGAAATAACCTGTCAAGATCACACAACTGTAAGCGACAGGGCACAGATCTGAATGTAGTTGTCTGGCTCTAGAGTTTGTACTCTATAAACTATTATGCCAAACTGGTTCTTCATTTTTTATTTTGCTTTGTTTTGATATTTATTCTTTTAATGTTCTTCTTTATATGATTAATCTATGATTACTGTAAAATTTAAAAGAAGGGAAGTGTGAAGAAAAAAGCAAAAACCTACCTGAAAACCCACATTCCAGAGATGATTACCATAAGTACATTAGTGACTATGCTTTCATCTATTCTAGGCATGTAGTCATATTTGTACAATTTTACCTGAATGGAATATCATACATACAGTTTTTAAACAAGGATCTCTGTTTGTTTTACTAACCTCCTCCCATCTATCCCACTCTCCCAAACACATTTAACAAACTAGCATGTAAACTATTTTGAGTGTATATATCTAATTTAAAAATAAATGCTTATCAATATATTTACAAATAAAAATATTTATATAGGGATGTAGGGCTGTTCTGGGAGGCTTTTTTTTTTTTTTTTTACAAAAATGGGACATTATATACTTGCTCCTATGTTGCTCTTCTTGCTGAACAATGTCTTAGAAATTTCAGACAGCAAAGGGATTGATTTACCTCACTTTTTAATGGTTGCATTATACGGCTAATTTTATCTGCTCTTCCAATAACAAAATTCTGCCCAGTTAATACTTTACTTCTACAAATAGGGTTGTAGCTTGGTTTTCCTGCCCTGAGATGCGGGCTTGCGCGCACGTATTTCATTAGGGAAGTGATCCAGGGATCAGGTGTGAAAGACTGAGGGGAGTGAAACAGAGAAGGCAGGAAAGTCAGTGCAAAGGTGTTTCTGCGAGTTGAAACCTGCGGTGCCACGGTAGGTTCTCTCTGTTTGCGGGGCCTTACCGAGCGAGCCTTAAACCTCTGTCGTTCACTTTGAGCACCACACCGCACCGGTTCAGGATCCGCTCCGCAGGCAAACCGCCCAGGTGTTTGCGGGTTGCGCAGGCGCAGGTGGCGCGAAGCACCCTGGGCCTACCGGAAGCCGGGGCGGGGCTGGCTGCAGGCGGGGTCCTGCGCCTCCGGGCCTGGGCTGCTGCCCGCGCGGTAACTGGAGTAGAAGGTGGCCTGAGAGCGAGTGGGGCCTTCCGTACAGCAAGTCACGCCAGCTTTCCCTTGGCTTACCCCATGTAGGGGGTCCACGGCTTTCACGCAAAGGACAAACTCTTCCCTTTTGCTCTGGCAGTAACAATAATGTATCTTGTCTTACTACGCAACATCTTTGTAGCGGGTGCTCTATGCAGCAAATCCCCGTCTTTGCAAGTCACATGAGGTAGGTATTTTACGACGGGGTTCCAGAGACCCACAGAGATTGTGAGGGAGAGGCCATTTGTCCCGTGTTCTCTTTCTATTCCCAGTGGGTAGCACAGTGCCTGCCGCTTCGAGGATATTCTGTCTAAGCTTTTAAAGGAAACCTATGGAAGTAATTTCCACTAAGTCAAACACCCAATACATGGCAAATCTGGCATTTAAATCTAGGACTTGTTGCCTCCCAAACCTATGTGTCTTCTATGAAACTAGTAACCTTAAATTTTTTTCTCTTACATACAACCAAAAAGAATTTTGTAAAACTTACTGCACATTTTAAAGCAGAATATGTAAAATTGTTCATCTTAAGTTCAGAAGCAAATTTTTTAATAGGAATGAAATACTAAATATTTTATAAAGTGAAATAAGATGAAGATATCCTACATTTAGTACATTTAGGTGTTTGTGTTATGACATAATGAAATGAATTTTAACTACTGAATAGCATTCACTGACCATGAAAACATCGTATAGTTTTAATTTGAAGATTTCATTCACTGTGTCATGGAAAGTCTTGAAAACATTACATTTAAAGGAATGTTACATTTAAAGGAATCTGCATCACTATCCAAACTGCTTCAGTGCTGAATCCAGAATATTCCAGCAGTGGCCAAGCTTCCCGCATATGAGATATGTTTAAAATGGGGAAAATTGGGAAGCTCCATATGTTTAAGGTACAACAATTAATCATTAAAGGGGGACTCGGAAACCAGTATTTCCGTCTATTCTTTTGTTTAGCCCTTGGGTAGTTTCCTCTCCACTGAGCAATGCGTCATAAAAAGGTTTGGGATGGGTGAGGGGGCACATGTCTTTTGACAAATCATTGCCTTCTTAGATCTCTGGGAAGCTTTAAAACCTCTTGACTACTTCTTCCTTGAAATACTTTCTCTTCTTGACTTTTTAGTTTGTCTTTTATTTTAAAGTAGGTGATAAATATTGTGACAAAATATTAAGCCATGTAAAAGTACAAAGAATGCAGAAAGCATCCCAAATCCTACCACCCAGATAAAATGTTATCTTATCCCCTGCCTTTGATGTGGTATTACCTTTTCATGGTTCTTCTCCCTTCCTTGTCTTTTGGTTAACTCCTCTTCTTCCTTCCAAAATCTAATCCCTAAAACAAAATGTTATGGGTTGGATATTATCAATCTCATTTCACAATTGCAGCAACTCCTGATAACGGCGAAGATCTCTGACTTTGTGATTTGTGATCGTCAGGGTAAGTTTGGAGTAAAAGGCTCATCAATGTCTCTTCTTTAATATTCTAGAGATGATAACCTGCATGTAGGAAATCAAGGGCTGGCACACATGTCTGTAGACTTCTAGGATGGGATTTCTCTTGAAAGGAGTTTTCCCTCCAGCTTTGTATTTGTTTCCATTGGACAACAAACAAACCAACACTGAGAACTTTAGAAAATGAGCACATCCATAGTAAATTGCTTCACTTCAGAAAAGACTGTGGGCCACTGTAGTTTGAGGATAAAACCAAATTGACTGCTTGTCAAGTCTTTCTTATTTCTCTCCTGGGTTGTTTCTTATTTCTCTCATTTCCATGAAAGTTTATTATAGTTTGATAAATAAACTGTGGATACTCAAAAAAGTGCATTGTGTTTCCAAAATATGCCGTCTTCTCACAGTCATTTAAACTAGAGTATACTTTGAAACACATATAATTAAATAGAAGAATGAAATTACATTTGGAAAGTGTTAACTAAAAGAGCCTACCTTTATGTCTTTTACCATAATTCTTAGGCCTGACAACAAAGAATGCATTTCCTTATCACCTGGGAGCAGGGCTTTCTATATGCTTCTGAAGTGAAGAGATTTACCTTCTGACTGTTGAAAATAATATGGCAGCTAAGGAAATTAAAGGGAAAAACAAAGCATGGGCTCAGTGTGCATAGCTTAGGTCTGGGTTCCAAGTGGTCCATGAATTCTGAGGCACTAAAATCTAAAGCATTAATACGTTGTTAACAATGTGTAATCAGGACGACTTATTCCATAGGACAGCACACCAGTGATTGTCTTGCAGCAGTGGTCTCAAGTCACAAATTAAGTTACTTTAGAGAAGGCAGCATGCTCTTCCCTATGCTTGATGCATTGAGTTGGGCTAGACAGAGCAGCCTTCCATCTGTGAGTACAGGTCCAAAGTCCAGGAACCTTAAAAGCTGAAGTGATCCATCCCAGGCAGCTATGTTCCTGTACCTGTTATCTGTTGATGCATAACCTGCTAGTGCAAAACAGCCACCATTTTATTATATCTTATAATCTTGTGGGTTAGGAATTCAGAAACTTCTTGTGTTCTGTGTGCTTTGATTTATATCTCTTGGTAATATTCATCTGGTGTCTGGGATCATCTTAAGGGTTCAAGACAGCTATACTCACATCGTTGGTCCTTTGGCAGGCTCAGCTGGGCCTCTGCATGTGTCACAGGGCCTTTCCATGTGGTTTCTCCATCAGAATAACTGGACTTCTTATTCATGGCAAGTAAATAGAGGTGTATGCTACCAGTATCTTAAGGTCTGGACCCAGAAATGGGTTGAGCATTACCTCCACTATATTCTATTGGTCAGAGCAGTCACAGCCTACCCAGAATCAAGGGGATGTGCTAGAGATCTCACCTCTTGATGGGAGGCACTTCAGAGAATTTGGCACTATCTTTAATTTGTCTTAATATATCCTTTCCCTAACTGTTAAAGTCTATGAAGAGGGAAGAAGGAAAATATTGAAGGAGAAGTCCCAGACAGACTCCTGGTCTAGACTTCTGCCTAAGCTGGAGGGAGGAATCTATCGATGACTTCAGCACACAGGTAAACTCAAGGAGTATATTTAACTTGGGAGATAAAGTGCCCTCTGTCAGCCTCCTGGTGAATTAACCTCTGCAGTGTTAAATTACAGTGAGCTGAGATTTCCCAAGGTGAGAAGGCTTTGATCCATTCTTGGAAGGCCATGTGGCCTCTGTAGCACTTCCAGTGAGCGGTTAGTGAGCAGGGACTTAGCCACATAGTTTTAGAAAGAGCTTCCTACTTCAAAGCAGTGAGCATCCTGAGCTTCATCTTCCAGGTAGGAATTGTTCCATGGTGTGAGCAGAGAAGACGAGTGGGGCAGGATAAATGTACCAGTTGCCTATCTCTTCTTAATAAAAAAATAAAATTTGCAGATGATTTCTATTTTGCTTCAAGGTCAGTTTGTATCAAGAAATAAGACCAGAGAATGTTAACTTAAAGCAAAGGTTTCACTTCAGCATGATTGGCACAAAAATGTCTTGTCCCAGTTTTCTGATAAAGCACTTATTATGGCATTGGGAATAATCATGTAGGCTTTGGGATTGGGGTGGGGAATCAGACTGCCTGGGTTGAAATGCAGCCTCAAAAGTTGCAACAGTGTGTAAATCCTGTTCATTCCTTGGTTCCTTCACCTGTAAAAAGGCAGTAAGAGTACTAGTAAATAATAATAATAAGGGTAATAATAACACTTCACAGGACTGATGACGATTAAATGAGGTGACACGTGGAAAAGCCTCAGTACAGTGCCTGATGCTTATTAAGTGATCACCATATAGTAAGTTCAATAAATGTCAGCTTTTATCACTGTTATTATAACAATAGCCCCCACCCTGAGGGTAGAAGAACTGGGGAACTGAAGAAAGGGAGTGGTGGAAACCCAAGTAAGACTTCTCATTCCTCTCTCTTTGGTTATAGCCACTGGGGTATAATGTGATCTATAAACTCTTCTGTCTGTTGACATGCCAGGAAATGATACGTCTCTGATCTACTTAGATATTCAAGCTTAATGTAAAGGCCCAGGTGTGGGAGGCTCAGAGCAGAGAGAGAGCTGCGGGCTGGGAGCTGTCTGGCCTTTAGAAATGATTGCCAGTCTAATAAATAAAGCATTCACTGAGGGAGTCTGAGAGCTGGGGAGCCACATTGCGTGCAAATCCAGATCAGTGGCTGAGCTTCTTCAAGGTTGAAGCTAATCATAACTGACATGTTAGAGTAAAACTACTTTATAAAATCAATATTAAATTTACAACCTTTGACATTCTAGGACATCAAAGGTAGGAGGGAATAAGCCATAGAATAAATAGTCCTCCAGCTATGCCAGCTGCTTAAGGAGATGGGGAGATGTGGGAAGCCAGAAGCCCAAATTGTACACTGTTATCCTGTTTTTGTACCAATGTCTGCACATCAATATAAACATTAAAAAAAATCAGAGATATTTATGCACAGAGAAGAAAGAGAAGCAACAAGGAAAACTCTACCAGTCTTAACAAACTCCCAGAATCATTCTAAAGTGAAGTGATTAGTTCCTTCTCTGACAGTGAGGCTTGATTTTCCTGGACAGCGGGATGCTGCAATTATGGGGCAAACATCACTTTGTGAGACTGACAAATCCCCTATTGTAACCCTAACCTACCTAACCAAGGACCGTGTGCTAATAAAAGCCTGTACCTCTCTACTAGGTCTTCCCCATATGCACTGGGATTCACATACAGCAGAAAAGGACTTTTGGAAGCAGAGTAAAACCATAAAGATCATCACAAGGTGAGACTGTGTTTCTCTGAGTGCTCCGTCAGTGGGTACTAGCTCTCAGCTGCTCATTTTTGGGGTGGAATTCCCCATCTGGAAAGCGGATTTTAATTTTGATTTCTAGAAGCAGAATTGTCTTAGTCCTACCAGAAGGAGTCAGTCTGAGGCAGAAGACCCTGCAACAACATCCAGCATGAGCAAGTCAATGAAGGACTACTTAGTTCCTTGCATGCAGAAGTATTTTGTCCCAAGGACTGGTCAGAGAACTGTGTCACCTCTGTTGTGGGTCTGAGCACCTTGAGTTTATTATATAAATTAGGAAGTATTTAGGTGGAGTGGGGACAGTAAGGCCTGGAGGCTCTGATGGTCTAAATAGACTCTTCTGTAGCTTGCTCTTTTCCAAAATAGATGTCTAAATCAGTAATTCCATCTATGAAACCTTTAAGGGGCATAGCAGCAATGCCATTCTTTCCCCCTCTTCTCCCTGTCTCCCAACTAACCTGCTAGAGATTGATTTGATCCTCTCTTTTGTAGCCTTTATGAGGTCATAGAGGTATTTTGGCTGGGATTTTGTATTTTGTATGGTTGTTTGATCAGAGATAGGCACACTAAGAACAAAGCTATCAGTAACATTCAGTTTTCATCTGCTTCCCAAATGCAAAACAAAACAAATACTATTCTCCATTTAGAAGTCTATGGAAACAAACTCACCCTAAGCAAGCAGGTCAAAGACTAGGAGATGTGCAGGTGTTGGTAGTCTTGCTGATGTGTATAAGCGTGAATGTGTGGGAGCCTATGGCATAATAGTTGAAAAAAACAAATTCCTGTTTGAGTGTAGTGTGTGTAGAAAGTGAAAAATGTACCCCAGTATATAAAACAGTTTTGCTTCTTTGATTATGCTGTAAACTCTCTGTGTTGCTAGAATGCTGTCTGGCACATAGAATGTGCTTTTTTTCTTTCCTCTTCTTGGTGAATAAATGAATTTGAATTTTGTAGATAAATTGTGGGAGGCAACTAATAATTGCATAGGGCCAAGGCACTATGATGGACTCTCTGCTTAGGCTTCTTACACTTCTGTATTGGTTTTTTACTGCCACTAGAACAAATGCCCACCACTTCAGTAGCTTAAAACAGTATACATTTTTAATCTTGAAGTTCTGTGGATCAGAAATCTGACACAGATCTCACTGGGCTAAAATCAAGCTGTCAATAGGACTGGGTTCCTTTCTGAAGGTTCTAAGGGAGAATTTGTTTTCGTGCCTTTCTCAGCTCCCAGAGGCCACCTGAATTCCTTGGCTCATGGCCCCCTTGCACCACCTTCAAAGCCAGCAGTGGTAGGTCGAGTCCTCTCTGTTTCATTGTCATGTCTCTTTATGACCATCACTTGGAAGGGATCTCCACTTTCAGATTTAAGATTAGATTGGTCCCAGGATAATCTCCCCTTGTCAGAGGACATACCCTACAAAGTCTCTTTGGCCTATAATGTAACACATTCACAGATTCTGGGGCTTAGCATGTGGACATCTTTGGGGGCCCTTATTCTGCCTACCATACCTCTTTAAGGTAGATAGGGCAGAGAATCAGGGAACTGAATTCCATTGGAAATGATCCCTTGGAAGATGAAATGGATTTGTATTTGAAAAAATAAATTCACTTCTCTGAGGTAAAGGTTGGTTTAGGGGCAAGGAATCAAGTCTGTGACTTAGATAAAGCATCATCTTCTTTCCAGGGCCTTGAGACCCAAGAGATCCCAAACCCTATGCTGTCCTGTGCCCACCTGGAAGGAGATTTCCCAAACCAATTCCTTCTGGGTTGTAGGAACTCAGTGTATGCCCCCTTCCAAGAGTTTTTATGTGTAATAATAGGACGCCATAACCCAAGGACAGATCCCGAACCTCTAGATTTCTTAGTTTCTTGAAAAAATAAGAAGCTGAGGAGGGCAATATAGGTTGGCATTTGTTGTCATGAGCTAAATTTGTTTGTTTTGTTAATAGAATTTCTATTACAATGGCACTTGAATTAGGAGGTAATTTTGGTCAGGGAGCCTCCCAGGTACGAAACCTGATAATATCTATTCTGTATGCTTGGGGAGAATAATGTGTGGGTACTATAAAAATGAAAAATACTGGTATAAAATGCAAAAGAAAAAATTAGTATCGGTATTTGCTCATAACATGAAGCTGCTAGGGAACATACCTGACTGCATGAGGAAAGGTGGTTTAGGGAATTGAGTTTGATGGGACCTTTGCCAGAGCTACTCTAATAAGCTGATGTTCAACCCCTTTTCCATTTTTGTAAGAAAAAATGATAAAAACCAACCCTCCTGAGTTCCATTCTCTGGTGCTAATAGGACACAATTGCAATGGCATACCACAAAAAATAAGGATATGATTTACAAGTAAGCCAGATGGTTCCCATCTCATCTCATTGAATAATTATCTTTTGAAGAGTTTCTTTTTGTGGATTACAAAGAGACTGTAATCACTTTAGAAATCCCCAGCGAGTTTTCTAATGAGCCCTACTTACATTGTGTTGACACTAATAGTAACTATAACCATGATCTTCAAATCCCTATGTAGGAGGCAAGGTTATTGAAATTACAGCAAAGGCCAGTAACTCATTCGAAAATACACTTCTAAAAATGAGCTTTATGTTGACCAAAAGCCCACTTAAAACAGTTTCACTTACAAATATGAGAGACTGCATTAATAATGAAATCAATATAGTTTAACTCATGAAAAATAACATTTTGCCGACAGGTTTTGCCCAGTTTAGTCTGGTATCAAATTAAGAAACTAAGTAAACCAAACATTTATATGACTGACTCATACTGTGAAAAAAATGTGATCACAGCTTCCTATCAGAAAACTATTAAGTTCTGTTCAAGTAATTTCCTCTCAGCATTTCCTTTCCTCACTTAAGGTTTCATTCTTAACCAAAAAGCATCAAATTAGGAAGCTTAAATGACTGAAGTATTAACACTCAGGAAAAAAAAGTGATTGCTTTTCAGAATGGGGGAAAAAACTTTCACCAACCTACCTTACCAAGGTAGATAGTTGCAAAGTAGTAGGAACAGAGAATTTTTTGTTGTTATATTCTTTTCTAATAGTTTGATTTTCAATTTAAAGTTTCTTTAAAATTAATCCTTTAAAATCATTTCCAGCAGTGAGCAATTCAGCAAGAGAACAAAATGGCCAGACTTTTGTATCCTTGAAAATTGGATATAGACTAGTAGGACTGTATCAAAGTAACTTTTGCTATTTTGAGTATAATAAATTGTAACTCTTGTATGGTTCAATTAGCATTCCTGTGAATAAATCTAACATTTCCCTTTATGCAATCTTTGCTTAATTGGGTATGCCTAGTTCATTTCCACTATATCTCTATTTGAATAATAATGAAAATTTGAATTTTACCTATCTTTCCGAATTTTATATTTATTCATATATATATGTACTTTCCCACTCACACAACAATTTTAAGGGTGTTGATGTATATTAAGGTCATGAATATGTAATGCTCCCTTGCCAGATATAAAAAACCTTCCTACAGAGTTTGCATCTCAGTTTCAAAGTTCTTGTAAACACATTGCCGTAGACAGCCATTACGAATTAATTGAAATAGGCATTTGAGTTGAAGCCTTCATCATCAGTGTTCAATTCATAAACAGAACCTGCTTTAGGTATTTCCAGCAGAAAGGGATGTAATACAGGGAATTGGTGCTTGCAAAATTTCCAAAAGACTGGAGGAGTAGGCTTAAGGCCTGACCTCCAGGAATGACTCCCAGATCACTACAGTTCTGAGCCCCCTGTTAATGCTGCTGCAATCTGGAATGGAAGAAAGGAGGAAGCTGGAAATGAAATTCTGTAGTTACAGAACACATTGCTGTAGCTGTAATCCAGGAACCAGAAAGCTGGGATCTGGAAGCCACCACCACCACCCCTGTCCACACCCAAGAAGCTGTTAATTGGACAGGGAACATAGAATATGATTGCATCTACCACTAATGAAACTGCTTCTTGAAACCTACAAAGCTGGGAACCAGAAACTGGACATGAAGCGGAAAACCTGCTACCATGCCCTTGCTTGCAATCTTTCAGGTCTTAACTGGGGGAAACCTAATTTGCATCCAGAATTCTGGCTTCAAGGAAGCCTGAGAGATGTAGTATTCAGTCCAGAAGGGCATACGAAGTCAGAATCTATACTGAAGGCATATCCCTGGTGAAACCTGTTCTCTCTTTCCCTCACTGTAGGGAGATGCAGAACTTTTATGCAGAGTAACAGGAAAATTCCAAAGGAACTGGCTTTTCTTAGAAGATATGCCAATACTCTATCTAGGGGATTTGATCCCTAACTTTACAGGTAATGATAATTCTAGCTTCTTTCCTTTATTTTCTCCTTTCTCCTTAGCAATTCATTTTTCTTAGGAACTTAATTTTAGTTTTTGAGCAACTTCATGCTGTTGAATTACTTAAAGCTTTGCATCTGCCAATCTTGCTTTTACCTCTCGCCAGAAAGTGGGTACTCTTTATCTCTGTTTCTTATGTGAATTAATAGGGACTAGTTCTGTATATTTCATGTGGCAGCTTACTATGCTAATATTCAATTAATGCTACTTCATACAGAGTGAAAATAAAATACATATGAATATATTATGCAAGAATTATATATCTAGACATAAAATGTGCTCTAAATAAGAAGTTGACAGCCACATCCATATCCTCTTAGGAAAAAATTTGTATCAGTGGGAAGCCAGAAAGTCCAAGCATTAATAGTATTTGACTATAATCCACCCATTATGGCAGTATAGTAAGTTACCTAACTTTTCTTAAATATCCAAAGCTTTATGTAGTAACATCTTTTCATTTATATGGTACACCACAGAATACGTGATTCTCAAGGCATCCTTATATACACATGTGGCAAGATCAGCATGATTAAATGACAGTCATGGAGCAGAGTGGAACTTGCACCCAAACCTTTAACTCTTAAAATTGTTATCTACTACAATAAGAAATATTAATCTTCTTCTTCTTAGAAGAATGTTAGTAAAAATAAATTATAACTAAGTCTTTAATGTATCTAGCAAATATGAAATACCTGAAAACAAATTCCTGTAGGATATAATTTGATATGCTAAGTGTGAAGAATTTAGTTTCATCTTTGCAATTTTTTTTAACTGGCAGAGGGATAATTGTATGACTGTTGCAGCTTTGATGTGTATGTTTTTACCTGTCTTAAAGTGTAAAGTCTGTTTAGATACCACAATTTAGTAACCACTTCATATCAACTATTCATTCCTATGGAAGTATCTTTTTTTCTAGGAAAAACGTATGTGTGTAAAGGGCATGACCATGATGTTATTATTTTCTTTTGTAACTGTCGCTGTAGTAAGTTTACCCCCATGGTTATGTCCATATACAGCCATTTCTTTCAAGGCTGATCCAAGTGACCATCCCAATGCTGCTTTCTCCCTTTAGTGTCACCATGTAGAGCTGCTTCTGTAGTTTTTTCACCTTCCACATCTCACAAGATGGAACTGCATTTCAGTAGGTTCCACCATCATATCTCACTTACCATATACTTTGCCTAATATATATGGCAAGCACATTGATATGTGGCTTCATTCCTATATCCTTTCAAAGTGACTTCCTTTTGGAAGCAATAAGAGTGAAGGGAGGCTACCCAGCATTTCTGACCCTAAATTATTTGTTGTTAGAGTTAAATACAGCCTTGTTTAGGCTATCAGCTCCCACTCTTCCCAGGAGCAGTCCCCCCACCCCATAAAGATACAATTTTTAAGCCAGAGGAAGTTAGAAAAGAAAACAGAAGCAATTAGAATTTTATACAAGGCAGGCGTGGCCTCAAATATAAAAGGTTAATAACAGAATTGGGAAAAATCTGTCTGGAGTACTTATGTATTAAAAAATTTGTAAAGTTCCTCATCTCTTTACTCTGTCACTACCTCTTTGTGGGGAAACTCCACAAAGAAAGCCACTCAAGTAAGTTATTTAGAAAAGTTTGTTTCTTTTCTTTCTTTCTTTCTTTCCTTCCTTGATAGCTTATTCAAAATTACTCCCTCTTTAAAACTTAAAACAAAAACAAAAACAAAAGCAAGAAACATAGTGCCTGTAAAGAAAGAAACAGGATGGCTAAGCTTTAGGTCCGAGTCATTTGTATCCAAGTGTAAGTGCCTGACTAATTCAGTTGGTAGAAGTGAGATTCTGGGAGATACAGTAAATGGACCGAGGAGTGCTGCCAGGTGATAGCTTCTGGTAGGTTATAAGATCACATCATGTCCTAGTTTTTGGTCTCTGTTAATAATCTACTGTGATGTACAGCAGGTTCTGGTATACAGAGTAATTCAAGTGCTCTTCTGTTGGGCATATGGTGCTTTTAAGAACACTCCAAGGGTTGATTTGACTGCTCTGGTTTATAAAGGATGGCACAGTGGGAAGGAAGGGAACAAACTATGGATGGTGCGTGGGATTCAGGAGAGAAAGAGACTCCTGTGAGAGCAGAGCTGCTGAGAAAAACAACATTCAATGATTTAATTAGAAAACCAATTTTGCCACCATTTAAGTTGAATTCCTGCAAGTGTCACTGTTTCTTAGGGAAAAATTTAGTGATTATACATATATGTATATATAAAATGTGTATATGTGTACATATATGTTTTATATATGTCAGTATATGTGCACATATACATATTAAACAGAAAATTCATATAAGGCAGCAAAAGGACAAGATTTAACCCCAGCTGCTGGACTTGGGGCAGGGAGATATTTGATAGGAGCAAAAAAGAAATAATTCTAGAAGCAACTTTTAGAGTAACAGAAAAAAAAAAATTCCAGGAAACAGCTTTGATACTCCTTTCCTCATTTAAAGACAGGGAAATAATACATTTTTCTCATAGAGTCATCTATAGTTACCATTTGCTGGCAAAAGGAGTGATTTTGTGTATAAAATTAACAAGGTAAGTTTATATTCAAAGTGTCATGCCTCCAGAATTTCCTGTCACAGGAATTTGTGTAGTAGAAAATAGGAGCAGAAATTGTTAGAACAGTAGAAATGTGGCTGACCACATCTGTGCAGGTATAGAAAACCCTAATGCCAAGTTTGAGTAATTTCAGGCAGAGAGCCTGAACTCCATAATCAGGAAGTCAGCTCTGATACAAAAACTGATTTAACACCAACCATTATGGAACAGAAAAGGAGGTCTCAGGACATCACAGAACTAAGAGGGCATTGAAGACTATCCTTAAAGCAGGGCCATGATAGATACTAACTAGTCATTCTCAACAAAGATTTTTTTAAGACTATGGCTGTCCAACATATGGCCTAGGACCCAAATTAATCCTGTCTGAAAATGAGTTGCAGATCACCTGAGATTTTGAAGAAAAAAACCCTGTTTTCCCTAATTACCTCATTTCTCCATTCTAGCCAGCTGACATGCTCAGCTAACAGTGGACTGCTGCTGGATTTTAGACAGAAGGCTTAGATTAGAAATTGTAATTGAAGCCAAAGTTGTCAGTTATATACTTGTGAATTGTTCAGGTTAAATCCATACTCTCATATCATGAAACTTGGGTATTGTAAATGACTGTGGAATGAAACAAAGTTAGCATAGATAAATCTTTAATAGAGACCACTCATGCTTGAGTTCAGTTTTCATTGGACTCATTATTATTAGCTAAGTAAGGAAGTAAATGTCACCTACTTCTGGAGACATGAGTGTGCTCCTAGCCCAATAGCACAGAGAGGGAGAAAAGGGAAGATAAACTTTATTAAGTGCCTCTTATGTGCCAGGAATGGCTCTAAGGGTTTTTCATACATTTCTTCTTGTAATGCCCCCCAAAGGCCAACACAGATGATTATTCTTGTCTTACAGACAAGGAATCTGAGGCAGAGAGAGCTTATATATCTTAACTGAAGTTCCACAATTTGGCAAAGAGTATAGCCAGCTCTTTGAACCTATGATTTTAAAGTCTATATTCTTCATTATGCCTATATATTATTTATATTTTGTTACATGTGTGTATCTATGGTTACATTGTTTCTTATACATTACATGGTTAATTTATTACTGTGAATTCAGGTCTTCTCAGCTGTAATTATAACATCATAAGATTATCAATAATTTGAAATAATATTATTACATATAATTAATAATACCAATACTCAATGAAATAATATTATTGTTCCCTAGAAAATTATATGTTGAAAGAACTCAAGTAAATTAATAAGAGTGACTACTTTAGGGAGGCAGAATAATGGGTGACTTTTAGTTTCTCCTTTTTGCTTTTCTGTTTTTCCTATTTTTCTGTGACGATCATAGATCGTTTCTTCTAACCTAAGCCAATATTATTTCAAAAATAAAACCATAAGGTATCATAGTAGAGAACTATCTAAAATAGGTGGATCCCAATACAATGTAATGCCTTTCTTGGACACCGTTAAACCAAGAAAACACGCCTTGCTTGAGCAATAGCCATTCCTTTTTGACTGTGTTATCTCTTAAATTTACTTTGTCAACTTTCTCATTTCAAAATTCATTTCAAGGACTCTTGTATTAAATTCAATTCATAATACTTGTTTGGAACATTGTATGCAGGAACCATAAATAGTATGTGTATAATTGGGCCTAATTGTTAATTCAAAGCTGATTATCAGAGAAGTAATACTTTGGCCTGTAACAGATATTTTGTAGTTATACATGTGTTGTATCTGAAAGAGAAGCTGTATAATACAGTCATTAATGTAAGAGCTCTAAAGCCAGATGGCTTATGTTGACTCCTACTTCCACACAGCTAGGTATATAATCTATGGTAATTAAAAAAACCTTTCAGTGGCTTAGTGTAGTTTTCTGTAAGATGAGAATAATAATTATACCTATACCTCATTAGTTTGTTGGGAGAATTAAGTGAATTGATATACATCAAGAACTAGAATAGTGCCAGATACTTCGTGAGCATCCAATAAATCTATCATTTAGCCCAGATGAACATATATCACGGTAAGGAAAGAACTAGCTCACAAATTTTGACAAAGACTTATGTTATATAAAGACTGAATCAATAAATGATAAGACTAGATTTTCTCACAAAATACAAACAAATGCTCTAGGAATGAAATAATTTGAAAACACATTATGTATCACATTTGAACTCAGCTGATAACTGTACCTTACTTCCAGGCAGGGGGTGTCTCAACAAGAAGTCTGTTCTGAGCCCAAAGGGGCTGTCTTGAAATTAAATTTTGCTGCCCTTCTTTCTGTGTCACATAAACTGCAGTGATTTTCATAAGGTTAGCCTTACATCCTCCCTTCCCTTATTTTTATTAGCAGGGGAATGTTGAAAGTGTGGGGAGTAGTATGGGCAGCTGGAGGTTTGGCCTTTAAAAGCCTAATAACAATAGCTGCCAATAACTAAGGACTTTACCATGAGCTGGCACTGATCAAAGCACTCTCCAAGAATTAATTTAATCTTCTCAGTTGACCTATAATATGTATTATAGAAAATAATATATATTATTGCCTCTATTTTTCAGATGAGGATACTGATCTGCAGAAATGAGCCACACAACTAATTAAGAGATGGAGCTGGGATTAAAATCCAGGTAGTCAAAGGTAAGTTTGGCTTTCCTGTCATATCTATGTGGTCCAACAATGAACACAAATAATAGAGAAAATGAACATGGATATTCACTTTAGGCATGTAAGGATGGTATTCAAAGTATTCACCAGCTGATCAGCTCAGACACTAGTTCTGATTAATGGATACTAGTGATGAACAACTGGCATAGCTATACTGTATGAACTGTCTGAATACCAGTTCTAATTTTTTAGGCAAAAAAGGATTAATTTGTAGAATATATCAATCAACATCTTTACAAAAGTAATTGATTAAATTACAAGGGATCAGTAAAGACCATTATCAAGTCCACTATATAAGACAAGTGAGTTCATACTTCTGACCTAAACCTTGCTCAACTTTTAGATACCCACAAGCAAAATTGCATGTTTTAAAGATGTAGAATTGTTTGTGTTCTCAAACAATGCTCTTTTCCTTGCTGGTACCACAAACCAGTGATAGTAAGGCTCTAAATGGAAAGAGTGGTCTTGAAATGGCCCTGCCTTTCTCTAAATCCGTCTGACTATCTGTTCAGGGAGGATTATAATGGATTTTTATTTTAACTCATTTCATTGACTTGGCATCTGTTTGGTATTATGTAAGTAATAGGATAATAAGTTTAATGTTACAATACTGGGTGGCTAAAAATACTGTCCACGCAGAATGAAATGATAAATAAGTTAGTGGACTCCCACTTGAGGTACTTTGATAAATTACACCCACGTTTAGTGCTCCCACTTTTACTGTTCTGAAACAGTACCTGCAGATTTTCTTAACCAAGTTTTTCTCCTGCAATTGAGAAGCCAATTGCTTCTGGCACTTATGGCCTGAAATGTAATATTAAGGCATTGGGAAAAAAAAGCATCTGGGGTCTGGTGCTGGACCTGCTTCTGACAGGCCTTGAGCAAGACAGCTGCTATGTAAAACACACCCTACCCTGGAGCTCCGTGGGAGGATTTAACATCAGTCACACAGAGCCAGTTCTTTTTGGTATAACAAGAAAAAAAAATATTAAAATATTTGAAATTCCTGTATTCTCTTAACCCAAACATATTTTGAAAGTGCAAGAAAAAATGTTTTAGTTATTATTTCCTTGGGAGAGTCACTGTACTGAACATGTGGCAATCACTAAATAAGTGTAGCCATCACTACTAAGGTGGCCATCATGATTCGCTTTGCTGCTGTGTGTCTCCACTCTGTTTTGTCTGCTCAGATGTGTGTGAGGCCCAGTTGGGCATGTCTCCCAAGCCCTAACCATGTCATCTTGGAAATTATATTTAAAGATTGAAAATCTTGTTTTGCATTTATAGTTAATGACGTACATTTCTTTGTTTCATCAAAGATTTTCCAAGATTTTAGATTCCCTTATAGTTTCCTTAATAAAATGATAGATCCCTGTTTTTACACTTTTTTGTTTCTCTGGCTAGTTTTCTTCCAAAATTTCATTTTAAATGGACACTTGTAGATGTTTTGATTTCTGACATTTTTACTGTCCAGGTTGCAAAGTACCAAAGCCACAGTAATCTACTTTACCTAGAATCCAGCATAGAAGGAAATAATGCTTCTTTCGGTATTATATTCTGTGCATTTTGAAGTCCTGATTTTCAAGATTTGAATGATTTTTTTTTTATTAATTAAAATTTCTCTGGGCTTATGTGGACATTGATCAGGGCTTATCTGTGTTATGACACACAAGGAGAGCAACAGACAGTGGAGGAGCCCCAAGGGACTCAACATAAGCCAGAACAGCTCATGGAAGGTGAAATAGAGGAAATAAATCACACTGGAAGCACAGTTTAATTTCTTTAGGTTCTTGGTACCTGGTTTTTCAGTTAATGCTGTTTCCTGCGTTTTGAAAGAAATCACACACATTTTTGCTCTAGGAGCACTTAGAGCAAGAACAGCATCACCCATCTCTAAAAATATTTCCCAGTGGATAAACTGTTAAGAAAACATGTTTGTGTTCACACTTTGAATAGAAATATTTACTATTCAGACTCTGTACTTGAATTTTTTTTTTTAAATCAAGTAACTAAATGGGCTTTTTGTGAAATGGTGACCAAAATCAGGGCATTGATTGGGTCACCACCTTTATAGCCAGAGCAGATGATCAATTCCAGAGCCTGGAAATAACCTTCACTGAAGCAGCTTACATGTATGAGTTTTGCTTGTTGTTGTAATTCAAAAGCACAGTGTTTCATGAAAAAATATGTTAGAAATTAGTTCCTAAAAACCTGAAAGACAATGGATATTTGATGATTACTGAAGCATTAATGAAAGACTCTTGCATTCATTAAAAAAATGAGCTCAGACAATTCTAATTCTAGGGATGAGTGTCTGAGCTGATGGGCTTAATTAATGTCACTATTTTTTTTACCTAAACTTCTTCACATTCCATGTGTGTTTTGTACAATTCTTATTCCAAGAAATTTTTTTTGAGGATAGTCTAGATATCTAGGGGTCTTTGAAGTAAGGTAACTTAATGACTTAGCTCACCAAGCTCTTTACCAGGTATCAGTTCATCCCTTATTTCATGTGCTTCCATCAATCCTACATTGAGACTTTTGACTTCTTTAGCAAGTGACCCAACTTTAAAATAGGACAATTTACCCATTTTGGACAGTGTTAGTATAAATGAAAAAATTGCAAATAGTTTCATTATTTCAACTTTAAAGTAGGATCATTTAACAAACACACATTTTTGCAGTTATGTTTGTTCTTATACATATCATCACTGATTTGTGCTGCTTAACTTTTCAGTATTTATCTCATTCAGTGCTGCATCATAAAAAATTTTTACTTCATTTCTTTTCAGTTTGCTGTGATGAGATGATTTGCATGGATAATAAAACCAAGGGTGTTTGAGAGACAAATGCAGGAATATAACCTAGCCTGCTTTATGACACTCAACTTGATGCGGTTTCCAGGTAACAGGCTGTCTACAGAGAGGCATTCTTGATTCTGTCACCTGAGGTGGGGGTGGGGCGGGGCTCCCGCACAGCCCAGGCTGGTCAGAAAATTGGGAGCAAATGATTGTGGTTACTTACCATTTACTTTTCTGTTTTTTGGGGGAAGAATTTTGTCTTAGTTTCACAGCTTTAGAAAAAGGGTGATATATTTCTGCATCCCTTAGCTTGGAGACCCTGTTGCCATAGCTTTATGTTACTGAAATTGTTTATTATATTTGAAACTTTATATGCTTATATTTTTTCCCAAGATTGGATTGCACCAGGATTTTTGCTAGTTCTGAGAACCAGGGGAATGTTTCTTTACTGGTTTATGTCTTTATTTGAAAATAAATTTATGCAGGAATGAATAATGGACTTCAAGATGTCTTAAGCAGATCCCTTTATGGTGCTTTTAAATAGCAGAGGTCCATTTAATGTGTTCCCCCACCCCCACCCCACAATTTATTTCCCAATCTCTCCTTCCCTCCACCTCTTTTGAGGCCAAATTTAGGCAGTGGAACAAGGGAAATGAGAAAAGGAGTGTGTCTTAAGTGTTTGGCAACATTGCTTCAGCACTGTGCATAGATACAATAGTAGGTGAGGCCCAAAGGCTGCTTCCTGGACCTTTGCGTTCTTGTCGGCAACTCCAGTAAATCCAGAAGCACTCAGTGGGTTTTGCTACTCATCCAAGCTGCCAGAAACAAGCTTTCAAAACTTTTCTTCCGGTCTTGCTTCTTTGTCTCTTTCTTTCCATTCCTCATTTTTTGGCAGGTACTCTTTATTTTACTTTATTTTGTCGAGGCTAATCTGCAGGTTGCTTGAATTGTAAAGGATTTTAAAAAGGTGCATTTTCAAGAGAGGAGATGAAAAGAATGGCCTGAGATTAGGGAAGAGTCTCTCTTAGACATTGACAGAATCCTCATCAGGAAGGAAATAGCAGCTTTATTATGTAGAGCAATTTTAGTTAGGACTTTGGGGGTAACAGTACATCTTAATGTTTGGAAATCATTGGAATTACTTTTCATGAAATTAAAATAATATAGTTTCAGATATTAGTATGACAAAATATAACAAAATCATCTCATATAGATAGGAATAAATGGCATGAATTCTATCATAAGTTCCAGAGATTTATTGAGCAATCAGAAAAAAAAAATTAAGTGCCTTAATTTGAAAATCTCTCACAAAAAGAAAGAACTTACTAGTATCAATAATTCCCATTTGTTTTTTTTTGCTTTCAATTCAAATTAAAAACAAAAATGAAATGAAGCCTTCTGCTAAAACATATCATCACAAAGGGAAAATGAGTTTATCTCCTAATTCTTGGCCCTCTAGCAGCATGGAAGGTATTAACTTAGAAATTTGCTTCTTCCCTCTTTTTCCCATCTCTTTGAGATGATCCTTGAAACTCTATAGAACCTTGTAATTAAAGATTAATTTACTGATGGTGAAACACTTTTCATTTCACTAAGTAGATTTGAAAATAGAAATTCACTAGAACTGATAATTTCAGGGGTTCTGATGCCAAGAATGGATGACATCAGCCAGGTTTTTGTGTGAATATCTTCAATGACTGTTCAAGCTTTTGGGGTTTAGCCAAAGCTAAAACATGTTCTCCATGCTGTTGCATTTTACATTCTGGGTGCTTTGGTTAGCATGACTACATGCTCTATAAAAGAGAGAGAAAAGGCAAGGGAAAACCCAACAAGGGAAAATAAAGTATTTGACTGCTATTGTCTATGCAGTAACCATCTTCAGGATATCTGGAAATCATAGAAACATCAAAGCAAAATTAGGGTGAGGAAACCCAGACAATGTGGGGCCTGAGGGTGTACCTTTATTCAGTTCTGGCACCTGTTTAAACTTTTATATTCATGTGCATCATGACTAATGCAATCTAGTGGCAGTCAGTAATCTTTATTGAATGAATAAACGAGTAGCCAAGCCAAGGCACAAACTTGTCTAATTCACTGAGACAGCTGTTTGTTGAACCAAATGCCTGGAACTATAGGGAAGTGAAGGAAATAAGTGAAACAAATGGTATCTTCCTTCATCTGAGAAGTTCACCTTCTTTTTGAGGTCTGCTGTTTTGGCTTGATTTGATTTTTTTCCCACTTTGCACAATCCAAAAGGACTTGACTTATGCTAGTGGTAGCAATGCTGGTACTGAATGACCTTTTCTAAAACCATCCATAAATGTATTTATTAAGATATTAGGGAAGATTTCATAACCATCACAGCTTTGAAATAGCAGACACACATTAGCCTGAATCTACATGTTATCTGGGTTTGGAACTGAATTCTCAGTTTTCGGTTTGGAAGGGGATTTGAGAACTATGAAATGTACCTTTTCCCAATGAATGTTATTATTTTATCTGCTCTTGCCCTGCATTATTTTCCTAATTTAAAAGGGTACCCTTCCATTGCTTTGATGAATTTTTGTTTCATAGGATGACAAACTAGGGAGAGAAGGGGAAAGTTCCTTAGTGAGGAGAGAGCTTGGGCCCTAAGTGACTTACAACTAGCTATTTTAAGATCTTTAAAAGTATAATACATGTTTTAAAATGGACACCCTGTCTAGATAACTGCTTTCTCTCAGTTCTTTTATCTGCTGCTAGAATCTCAAAGATAAGTGGAATCTATCACTATTTATGTGATTTCAAGCTGTAAGTTGTATTACTAAGTGAGATATACTTACCTTACATCTCTGAAGGGACCTTTTGGAATTTATTTGGAAGGACTCAGGAGGAGGTTAATTTAGGTATGGCTCTAGTACAAAATTCTACACAGTCAAAATGACAAAGTCCAAATGCCAGTAAACCTGTATTAAGAGTGCACATCTATAGAGTGCTAAACACATACAGAGAAATATCTCCCTGCTTCTCTGTAGTTAAGGGCAACCTGTTAGAAAGTTACATGTAAGTTAAATTATACTTTTGGTGTGAATAACCAATTATTGAAGAGACATTTTATTCCCTTGCCTAATGTGCGTAAAAATGCATCTTGGATTGACTCCTCAGTGTAATCATTCAACAGTGTAAAACCTTTCCTTTTCTCAGGATAATAATTGTAACTTTATTCTTTTCATTAGTATGTATAGTTTCTACAGAAGAAGGCAAACAATGCACTATGAATTGTAAACCAATTTAAAGCCATGTGAGTTTCAAGTCAAATCCAGTTACTATTCTAAGCAGATAAGGAGGTAGGGTGGACAGATGGTAGGTCCAAGAACTATAAAACCCTTAATAAAATGAGCTCAGAGGACTTAGAAATGAAGTAAGTATTTTATTCATATAACATAAAAAAAAAGAATAAGGAAAGTAGAATACAAAATCTCATCAGTGTAACTTTGGCCACAGTATTGTATATACTGGTTACTACTTAAGTTTTGGTCACAAGAAACTGCCAGGAATACATATGAGCTTTTCTGACCTGTGCAGGCATTATGATAAATTACCTTACACGCACCTGGTAAGAAAACTTTGTTATTGTAGCCTTAGAGGTAAAAGCCAAACCAGGAACTAAAATGGCCAGGAAAGAGTCCTGAGAGAATGGGGGTTGGGTCCAGTTGTGGATGAAGAATGAGGTTAATAGCAGAATGCCTTGGCGCTCTGTACCAGAAAAGATTTTTGTTGTTGAATATATGTATTAACCATTTATAAGATGGTGTGAATAAAGAAGTGGTACTGTTCAATGACCCTGAATTTTCAGTCCAATAAGGACTGCAGGGGACTCCAGCAAGACTTAACAAAACTGGGTAATTGGACAATATGAAGAAGATGAAATTTGAAACAGGCAAGTGTGAGGTGATGCACATCTGAAAGAACAATTTAAGCTAATCATACACAGTGATGGATATTGAATTAGCTATAACCTTACAGAAAAAGATCATGAGCTTTGCTCAATGTGCAGCAGTGCTAAAAATAAGTCATTGGAAGAGGAGTGAGAATAATGTGGAAAATATTAGGGTGCCATTATATAAATTGACAGCATATCCTTGTCTAGAATATTATGTTGAATTTTTGTCACCTCATCATAAAAGTGGAATGGAAGAAACAGAAAAATGTGGGGAAGGCCAGCTAAACTGATTAGAAATATAGGAAAGCTTTATTATGAAGAGAACATTTTTATGTCACATGTAAGGATCTCCTGTTACAAATATCCTATAGTGATATAAAAGACTGCTTGTTTATGACTCATTAGCATCTGATGTATGTCCATTAAAGAGAAAATAAGCACATTTTGCATTGTGGTTTCTAGAGTTGGGTAATCAAGACATTTTTATCCTCAAATAGTATCTTGAATTCATTGAAAGTAGTATAAGTTGGTGGCATTTTTTTGGGAAAAAAGAAAACCATTTCCTTGGAAGACCCCTTTTACCTGGGCCAGATGTGATGCTTGCCAGTGCTTCACTTTTATGGTAATAATTGGTGTTCATAATGATAATTCCAGGTCACTGCGCACTGAGCACAGATTCTTAAAACATTTTCAAAAGCAGAAAAAATCTAAAGAAACAAAAGTTTGTTTATTTTATTAGTATAATAAAATTTGACCCATTTCTTAAAATTTGGGCATTGAGTTTTGGTCAGTATACTAATTTACTAACCATAATATTTATATATTTATATAGCACATTCCATCCTTGGCCACCAAAGATAAGTTATTATAGTTATCTTCCAATTTCTATTTAGCCTAAGAACTCCATCCAAGTTCACAAAATAAAAACAGGATAAAGATAAAACAACACATGCTACTGAGAAAAGGGAAGGTCAGACACTGATGCTTTTCTCTCTTGTTGCCTGGGTACCTGCAGACGGGGATTGGGAGGAGAGTGAGGGTTTCTATCTCCGTTACTGTGTTTGTATATACATACACAGCTCTTGACAGAATTTGCTTTGAAGGAGGGACTGAGAAGTTATGTGCAAGATGAGCTCTGAAAGAGCTGAATCTGGTACTTGGTAGGGTATTACTCAAGTTGG